CCAGTCTTGCAGAGACAGGAGCTGTCACTGAAATCAATGAATCCAGTAAGTTTGAGATGCACCAACCAACCTTATATGCCCCACAAATGGTCTGTTGTCTCCCCTCCCAAGTTATAACAGTTGATCTAATCAAAAGCAGTGTAAACTACACCAAAATGTTTAAATTGACAAGACTTTGAATGACAGCTGTAGGAAAAATAGGTAACAGAGATTTTACATGTTCTAATAATTTGATCAAAACCCACAAAACCCAAACAAATGCAGACACTGGATCGTGCATGGCTGGATGACGTTGTTTGCTAAGCCAGCAAACAACAGACATGGAGAAGTCACAACTGCCTTCCAGTATTTACCTGTCATGCAGCCTATCACGTTGCTCTGTGCTCTTGTAGGAAATAACATTATGAGGAAAAGAGCCTGGAACTGCTGTCATGTTGCTCATCCTAATCTTTCTGCATGCCAGTCAAGGCCCATGCCTGCTCTCCTCCACACCAGAAACTGCAAGGCTGCATGTAAGGTGTGGGGAAAGGAGATCGCAAAAGTTTTATAAGTTGTTTCTGTGTTTTTTCCTGGCAGTTGGCGGCCAGGCACTGAGAAGGAAGCACAAGGTGTTCATGGCGCAAGGAGAGGGCTCCCAGATGTGCTCTCTCCCTTACTAAGCAGATAGCTGAGAATCACTGAAGAGCATGGGAAGGATTTTGCCTAGCTGCCTTACTCCACAAGTTTTCCAACCAAGCCAAGACCTTTGGTGCTCCTTGGTACCTAGGTGGAGGGGGCTCTGAAGAGCAACAGTAGCACTCAAGAGTTATGCATCTCATGGACTTCACTGTGGCTCTAGTGGCTGCCTCCATTGTTTACAGGATATTCTCCCCCCTTTCCCTCCTTCTAACAAAGATTCTGATTAATGATCGCTCATTCCTAATTGTCAAATTTCTTTTCCTTCATCCTGTGTCTAATCACCAGTGACAGAAGCCATTACGCAAATGAGAGCAGACGACTTCCCACAACTGTTCTCGTTGGTAAAAGCCTTGTAATTTAAAGCTCTGATTTGTAGAGGAAAGCTGCGTTTCCCCAAGGCGTCCGGGCATCTGTTCCACTTACACTCCAAGAGCCTTGACTTCCGCTCCCTCCCCCCACAATTAGTCCTCTGCTTGCAACAAATATTTGACTTTGCGAGGCAGTAATTAGAACTTACTTTGCATGTGTTTGTCACAGTAACAGCATCTCTTTCCTTTTCCTTCCAGGCAGCACCAATGCAGAAAAGCATCCAGGGAAGACGGTGACTTCAGGACTTCCCAGGACATTGCCAGGAGAGGTGCCACCTCCGAAACAGGAAAGGAAGATGAAGACCCTAAACCAGAATGCGAGGAAGCTCCTCACACACACATGGCAGAAGGGAGCCTTAGAAAACAAGTGCTTTGAACAAAGACACACATAAAGGCACTACACCCCTGTTGGCAGTTGCTGCTCTGCTTCTGGGGCTGGGATGGCAGCATGGATTGAACATCCATCACCACAGACGCCTTCCAAGAGATTGTCAAGACCCTTAGGGCACCATCTCCATTCTAGGACTTCAAAGAGCAGTTAGCTGTGTTCAAGGTCAGTTTGCTACGAACTGTTGCAAGGGAAGCAGCAGCAGCCTCAGCCCAGGCCTGCCCCTCTTTTCTTCAAGAGCTGCTTTGATGCTGAGGATCTCTCCCCTCCACCCCCACCTGTGTTAGATTGCTCCTGCACTGCAGCTGTCTCAAACCTCCTCAACCCTGGCCGTGATCCTGACCTGCTGGCTTCACCTTGGACCTGCTTTATCACTCCAAATTTTCTGGGTGATCACCGAGCTGAACGTGACCCTGATCACCAAAGGGGTAAAACAGTGCATCAGACTGAAATCCCATGCTCTTCTCTTTCCACGGGAAAAATACTGCAGCCATGATCTACAAGGATTAAGAGAAAATAAGTTCTCCTTAGAAAACTCCTTTTCAAAGAACAAGGAAAAGACTGAAAAATCTTGGAGTCTGATCTGGTTTTCAAATGACACAGTTCTCATCCATCAGCTTCCTCTGCTTCTCTGCACAACTTGAGACATTTCTGGTCTTTGTGGTGCCAGTGGTGCATGTTACCAAAGAGGCACATACACAACAGAAAGACTACAGGATCGGACATAAGAGACCACTAAGTTCAGTGGAACAGAAGCAAGTGTGTGTTCAGAGATTATGATCTCAGCAGAGAAGGGTGAACGCCCATTGTCAAAGAAGACTTTATCCACTTGTCTTTCCTACTCCCTACACATTCACCCTGTCCCCCATGGGTGGGAGGAGAGAATGCCAGTTGCAGCAGCCCAGGCTCAAACAGCTGTCTCTCTCTCCCCCCACCCCCATCTCTATTCATCCCTAATCTCTATTCAACTCCTCCCCATTTTAACTACACATTAGAAATTTGTTCAGATTTAGCCACCATTTCACTGATGGTTAGATGCCAAGATTGCTGCAGAGTTAATATTACCATAAAATAACCTGTATCTTTATAAGGTAGAGAGGCTGCTTGGTGGAGCAGAGGTACACAGAGGAAGCCTCCCTCCAAAATCACCTTGACCAAAGTATGAATTGGATAAAGGACCAAATGGAGGACAAGATATCCCAAATTGCCCAGGGAAGTTGTAGATGCCCATCCCTGGGGGTGTTCAAGGCCAGGTTGAATGAGGCTTTGAGCAACCTGGTCTAGCGGAAGGTGTCCCTGACTCCGGCAGGGGGTTGGAACTTAATGATCTTTAAAGGTCCTTTCCAACCCTAATCATTCTATGATTCTAAATGATAAGCAACTGATAGTGTCATTTGCTCTGTCATCCTGTCAGTGACCAGAGCATGGTGACAACATTCAGGTCAGTAGGGAGGGGAATTTGTTCCCTTCTCACCAACACTTGTTAACAGGGTTCAAGGATATCATCTTATTCCCACCTTTCCTTTCAGGCTTACAGAAGCAGTATGGGAAAAGTTGTGAAGACACACAATAAAATGTAGTTAGTATTGATGTTCTGAAGGCAGTTCTGAAGACCAGCAGTTTTCATCAGCACAGAACAAAAGTGGAGTTATTACAAAGACTGAAAGGTAGCTTTATGCACACATCTTACACAGATCTCCTATACAGCCACTCACAAAATAAAAGCCACACAGTTCTGTTGTTCAGCATTGGTTGTATTTAAGAACTACACGTCAGAAGGTACCGTGTGTTTGTCACACCCCACCCCCTGCACACACACCCCTAGCAGAGAGCACACACAGCTTCCCAATACCATGGCAGGGGTCATTGAAGCACAAGGTGAAAAGGGAAGGGGGGAGTCAGTCCATCAGTGCATTGTAAATGAGCTTTCACAAAGTCAAGTGCAGCAAAACCTGTTCAGACACTTTAAAAGTTAGACCTTTGGCAAATAAAGAAAAAAAAAAGATCCTAAAGTTCTGTAAGTACCATTCCCTCTCCACATGGAATATGAACTCCCACCCTGAGCTTCAAGAGTTGACGGTGTCTAACAAGTAGTACTGGAGACTACCATGTGCTGAATAAATAGCACAGAGATGGGATTTCATTAGAGCATCTTTCAACCACAGGCATGTGCCCAGGATTCCTGGGAAGGCCTTGCTTTTGGCCAGAGGCAGCAGCTTAGCCTTTTTCCTCACCTGCCCAAAGGCTGAGCACTGATAAATATCTAGCTGAGTGACCTTCGTCTGGATCTAACCACAGCCCTGGAGAGTCTGCAACAAGTAACATGGCAGTCAGACTACTCAGTGACACAGACACTTTTCTTAAACCAGGACCCTGCAGCTGCCAATTACACTTCATTTGTTCTGACCTGTAAAGCAGCCAGAAAATTAGCCCCTGGGACCTGCTGTTTGAGAAGCCTTTCATCTGTGTGCAAGACAAGCTCAGTGCAAGTGGTGCATGAGCTGTCCCAGCAAAAGATGGGACCTGAGGCAAAAAATGGAACACTTCCTGAGCAGCATGTTCTCAATACTTTTATCAGAATCCCATGTCAGAACAAGCCCCAAAGAACAGGGAAAACACTTAAATCTCAACATAACAAATTCCCCACTATTCTCTGGGATGAGATATATGGGCTATGAAGCAGCTTCTCCCACCTGTAACTCTTGGGACCCATTACAACCGCATCAAATATACAAGACCTTTGCACCACACCCCAAACAAGGGACAGCAGTGCACCACACCTCAGGGAATAAAAAGCCAGCCTCCATATGAGCCTAGGGCTTTTGCATGGAAGAGGAGGAGGAGGAAGCAAAGTGATTTTTTCAGGGTGATTGCTGAGGACTCTTAAATAGAGGCTTGTCTGGTTCCTGCACCCTGCTCTTTGTCACTTCCCAGCCTGCCACATCAAATCCCGGAACACAAAAAGGATCAAGACAAACATAACCACATTTAAACAGAAAGCCCTGACCTCTTTCACATGACTGTACAAGGAAAGGAATCACACACTGGCATGGATTTAACTGATGGACAGGAGCCACACAACATCACACAAACATGCACACCTGTGCTCAGCCACACACACTTGAGTTCTTGCAGTTTCAGTAAAAAGGGCACTTTCCCATGTTAGTCTGAAAAGCCAGAATCCCTGGCGGGGAGAAGGGAGGCTCTGCACCTACCTGACACTGCATTTTGACAGCTCAGCACCCCCAGGGAATTTAATTTAAAAACATGGCTTAATCATTCAAAACTTGAAGAGTGCCCTCACATTTATGCATCTCCCTTCATAACACTACATCCCCTTTTAACCACACTGCAGCTTCAGAAGAGCAGGAGAAAAGCCTTCACTCCCCAGAGAAAGCTGTCAGAAAGGAGATTTATCTAGACTCCTACAACACAGATGTCATTTGGGGAGCATAGGATTTGGCGCTCACACACTAGATGAATTCACTCTGATCTCTACCCTGTACTAAGTCCAAAGCATAGATGTCTTAAGTTGAAGAAATTGAATAATTTGTCCAGTTGCTCATCACACACAGCCCATCTCACTTGTTCGTTCCCGTATACAAAAAGGTGCCAGAGTTGAGCATGGATAGGTCCTCTAACAACAGAGGACTGCCAAACCTATCACTTCCCATCTTATATCTACCACAGGCACCAACACATAAACCCAGCCAGAAAGTCCAAATCCCATGCGGCTGAGGACACAAGATCACTCCCAGTTCTCCTCCAAGCTCTTCTTCAAATGCCTGAAAATCCTGAAGCAACACATCCAAGTGCCAGAAGCCATGCTCCTTCTTGTGGTAAACAGGGCAGACGGAGAAAAACCAAGTTAACGAGCATGAAGCTTCCAATAAGTGCAGACTCTTTCTTGGGAGGTTCAGTTAGACGAGAGTGGAGGATGAATGGGATACTAAAAGTTCTGCAGTTCCAGTAGCCCCTGTTATTGTAGTGGGGCAGGGATGGGCCAGGAAACCCATCAGTCTGTTAAGTGCTGCGTGCAATACTAGCGCTCAGTTATCTTCCATTGCTTGTGAACAAAGCAGCTCCAACATCAGTCACCCGGGCAGCCAGGCATTAGTCATAACGCCCCTTAATCATCATATTCAACAAGGGACCCACCTGTTCAAAGCAAAAACAGATCGTTAGCTGGGACAGTTACACAGAAATGGTGGCTACAGAGCCTGCTCCCTCTGCATCACAACACCTTGCGAGCTGAGCAGCCGAGGGCAAAGGACCTCAGTAAATAAAAGGAGCCTAAAGGTTCACCAAATCAGTTTCAAAGTATCTTCCAGATAAAACACAGGTGCACCCGTGTGCCTCAAATACCTTACCAAAATTACAGGGTTCTCTGCCAACACCCAGCTGTAGCTGTCACTAAAACATCGCATCCACAGTATTTCTTTGAAACTTTTTCACTTCCCACCCTAGATTTGTGATTTCTCAGTAAATGCTATTAAAAGGAGCCAATAGTCATCAGGGCTTGCCTTTTGCAGTGCAGAGAAGGAACATTCTTACTCAATCCTCTCTGGTCCTTGGGGTCACTCAGAGGGAAGGCTAGGACTGACAGTTTTGCTAAGGTTTTACTTTCAGTCAAGACCACTCCTATTTGTCAGCACTGCCTGATCACCAAGGGAAGTTCAGCATGCTATAAGATAATCTCAGAGGAGAGACATGATCTCACATGCACGCTGAAGACGAGTTCCTGCATAGTTGTAAGGGTTACAGATCATCGAAAACATTTCTATTCACATCCAGTATTTCCACTTTCAGATCAGATCTTCAAAAGCATACCCTTAGCACTTCAATCTGTTTTTGAAATACCAGTTGGTTAAAACTGCAAAGAATTCAGAGATGACCGAGATGTGTGTTAAGTGGGAAGTGCATGACTCAATACAAGAGATTTCTCTTATTTAAGAGATTTGGACTCAACAGGTAAAACAGTTTCATTTTTCTGGCAAAAACTGGGTATCATTGCTGCACAGAAGCCTAAGGAGAACTTGGGAGCAACACTTTCCTGGCAGTGCCCAAAGCCAAAGTACACCTCCCCCCCATACAAGAACAATTACGCCATTGTTTGTAGCAGACCTCTCCAGAATTATAATTTAAAGAACTTGCCTTTTTTTAGCCAAAGGACCTTCCGAAGACAGCAGAAAGAACCTCTGACAGCAATAGAGCAACCCTGCTTTCTCCTACCCTCACTGTGACACCTGCAGAGCCAAATAGTTGGCATCTGGAATTTTGCATCAAGCCATAACAATTTCAACAGCAGTCACTATATGGTTCTTTTTTATACCTCTTGTGGATTTCCTAAGGCTTCTCCCAACATCTTCTCAATGTTCCTCATTATTGCCACTTTCTGATGAGCCTTCAACGGATATTCAATTCTCTTTGGGGTTGGGGCACCCTGAAATATCAAAAATAGCTCATTGCTATTCCTGAATTGGCAGATTATTCCTCCTTCTGACAGCCACCCACTTCTTCACACACCACTTGAAAGGGAGAAAGTAGTTTTCAGCTTTAAAGTAAAGGATTTGGTGCCATGAAGTTCTCACATTGACAACACATGCCAGTACACCTCTACCTGAAAAATATCCTCCAGGATAGAGCTATCCAAGCTGCTCAGGAAGGTGCTTGTACTCACCTTGTACCAGAAGTTCACAGTGATGGTAATCCCCCCATTCAGGAGAGACTCAATGTGGTGCCACCTGTATGGAAACCACAAAAAAAAAAAAAAAAAGGAAAGAAACTATTGCTGTAGCTTATAGTGAAATACCTTGGATGGATGAGTTCAGACAGCACTAGACAAGCCTTGCCCTATATCTCCATCATCAAGACATCAGAACTTCTGGAAAGCTTTCTTTATTTAAATACAGATCCTTTTCTCCCACATTAGTGGAATACTTGCACAACAATGTAATGTCAGGGAGAATTGCCACTTCCATTCAACAGACAGGAAGTAGAAGCAGATGAGCCCAAGATATCACTGAAAATAATGCACTTGCTGGAGAAGTCAAAACAAAATTTTCTTAAGAGCCAACCCAACACTTTAAGCAGAAGATCTTTTAAAATTCTGTTTGCTCGTCACTGTGCAGCCCCGTCATCCTTCTTACCAGTACATAGGTATATAGAGCACATCCCCCGGCCCCACCACCGTCTCATAGCCAACCACGCTCCGGAAGTTCGGAAACTTCTCATAGTCAGGATTGTCAAAGTCCACCTAACAGAAGAAAACATTAAGGAACTCTGCAGGAAGTTCTTCTATGACATTGCTCATTATTGGCTCTCAGTATCAAATCATCCTGTTCTTCCCTATACATTCCCATTCACGTCTTAACTCCATTGCGAGGTCCTGCAGTACCCCCAAAACACTACCAACTTAGACAGGAGCCCTGCAATTTGTCTCTGAGCAAATCTGTGTTTGACCAAGTGATCAACGAAACAGAACAGAGAAGGTAGCAACTGCAACTCTGTTGTGCTATCAGTAGGATGATGTTCATAGCCCTAGTACTTGCAAGTCAGGACCAGACACAAACAGAAACACTACCAGTCCTTCCATCTGTTCTCAATGTATTCACCAGTTAACAGATCTGAACACAGGTTTGGCAAAAGCTCAACAGCTGGTATGCAGCTTTCATTCCAGTGCAGCTTCCTCCCACCTAGCATCTTCAGAAATGCCCTGTTTTGGCATGGAGCAGAGAACACTCACCTGGCTCTGTCTGTCACATGGATGGTGCACAGGATAAGGGTAGAGGCATTCAAACTGATCAGGAGGGAACAGGATACACCTCTTGTAACCCTTAATCTGAGCAAAGAAGTTCTGCTGCTCATCATAATGAGCTGGTGTCACATTCCCTAAACAGAGAGAAAAGATGATAATCAGGACGCTCTCACATACAGGTGTGAAAGACAGGAGCAAGTTAAATTGCTTGCTAAAGACAGTAAGTAAACTCCCAGATATTCAGAAAACTAAACAAGGAAAATGACCACAGGAACATTACAAACTGATCACTATATCAGTCAGCCTTAATTGAGCAGTTGTTACTCCACTTAATTTCCATTCTAAATCCATATTCAGCAATTTATGCTCGACAGGATTAGGATTTCCAGCTTGTTTCAATGAACAGCAGATGGCAAATGTTGACAGGGAGCTTTCTCATAAAACACTCTGCTTAGATGACAAGTTGTGGAATGGACTTTCAAAAATTATTAGTCTAGAGAAAAGTAGTTGAACAGTCTGATTCTGAAAAAAGTCCTAGCAGTTTTGCAAGAAAACAAGTAAACAAATCTCTCTGTCCTTGGGGCTCCCAATAGCACCTCCTCAGTCTGATTAACAATTCTGAAGCTTGACTGTCACCACTAGATCTTAAATTTAATGAAATCTTTAAATACAGTGGGGCATTTTTTACCCCTCACAACTATGTTTTTCAGGCTGCTTGCCAGTTCAGATACTACTTTTTAGCTTGCTCTTCATATGTATTTTCACTAAATAGAATTAAGATAATAGTTAACCCCATAACTTCATTAAATAGCTCATATAACTACATGCTCATGTAAGGACACTCCTTCTTCTAGCACACACTGGTTCAAGACAATTCCTTGGTTCTGTGCATAACCTGTTGATAATAGAATGTTAGTGGAGTGTTGGTGCAGTGCTTTTACATGAAGTTCTCTTCTCTTCTCTCAGCTAGTAAAACAAGTGGCAAAGACAAACTACTGTAAGTCGAGTAGGACTTGTTGCAAAGGGGAAAAGACATCTGCTGTCAGAACTGAACAGCCATGAATTTCCAAGTAATTATAATTGGATAATTATAATTGGATGCAACGGCCACACTGATTATAGGCCACCCCATTTCACACAACTGTGTACGCTCCTTGCCCCGTTACTGAGATTACTTTCTACGAGAATGTTCTCCTTGTCAACACTGTAGTAGTACCTCTGTCTCCTAAGGCACCTGCCTATGAGTTCATCTCCACATGGATCTGGAATTCCACTCTATTCGGATATTTTTAGGATTTATCCATCTTCAAGTTCTCCAGTGCCCTCTAGCCTTCCAGGAAGAAATTCCATTCTTAATTGAAAGATAATTCCTTCTCACAGTGTACCAGCTTAAATAAGAACAAATGCTTCACAGAATAATCAATGTTTCCTCCTGGGTAGGCATTGGACATGCTAAGAAAAGCCTAGAAGACTAACTTTGCTCAACTTGCAAACCCTTGTGCATTTTAAATCTGCAGACTCTGAGCATTTTAAGTCTACAGGATCTTAAGCAAGGAAACAATAAACAGGTCTCAGAATATGATCAGCAATTACTGAAAACAAAGCCCTACCAGCATCACACAGAGCCTTTCCATGAGCCGATTACATCCATGCATTCACAGTACCTCCCTGGGGAAACACAGGCTATTCCTTTGGTTGTTTCCTCTCTATAAGCCAAGTTAAGTTGTGACAACAATCCTCTCCCAACTCAAAGCTTTAAACTGCCTGCTCTGAAGGAACACTAAGAAACTAGTGGAAAATCCATTTGAAAGACCTTCTGGAACTGAAATACAGAACTGCTGATCAAATCTCCCCTTCTCCTCCAGTCAGAGGAAACTGCTTACCTTCCATGCCAATAAGAAGCAAGTTAGAAGTCAGTTGACCCCAGCCATGTTTCCCTTGCTGCTTGTTAATCCAGTTCCAGTTGAAGCCAAGGAAATCCACCACAATCTTCCTTCCAACTGTGTCATTCAGGGTTTGCTGCAGATATAGCCTGTATTTTCCCAGAGACAAGCAGAAATCAAGTATTAAGCCTTGTCATAAACACAAAGACACACCTCTACATTTCTTCAGAAAGATTTCACAATGAAGAGACATTACTCCTAGAGATCCTGTTCTATCACCATACACCATAAACACCTGTGGAAGGAAACAGTTTCAAAAAGTCCCCAAGCTTTGATGAAAGATTTCCTTGTACACAAGGGAAAAGAACTCAGTTCTGCTTAAACAATCACAAAGGAAAATTAATTTTAGAGTTTTAGAGCAAGAACAACCCCGTCACAGTGCAGGAGGAAACTGTAAACAGACTGGCCACTATCAATTATCAAACACACTCGTGAATAATCCCCAGACAAATGTCACCACTCTAATTCATCTGTGATAAGAGTCACCTCTTCTACTAGAAGTGCATGAGTGCAAAAAAGGGCTCAGGAAACCCACCACATTTAGTATCACAGAATCATAGAATGGCTTAGGTTGGAAAAGACCTTAAAGATAATCAAGTTCCCCTCCACTAGAGCAGGTTTCTCAAAGCCTCATCCAGCCTGTCCTTGAACACCTCCAGGGATGGGGCACCCATAACTTCTCTGGGCAACCTGTTCCAGTGTCTCACCACCCCTACAGTGCAAAAATTTCTTCCTAATGTCTACTCTAAA